TATATATATATATATATATATGTCTGTATATTAAAATTTTCAAAAACAATATTAAGATTCCTCCGTGGTCGGTTGGATCTTTCATTCTTTTTTATTTTTTTTTTGGTATTGTGTTCTATTATAAAAATTGAAATTCGTGGGTTGAACTTCAATTTATCCGGCGACTATTGTTGGGCCTAATCAGTATAGTAATTGACGGGCCTGATAATGTTGAGAAGCATATCGAACAAGGCCCAATACAAAATTCAAAATACACAACTCAACGATAATAGAAAACATAAAGTTTCTTACTGTTGTTTTTTTTTTTTGAAAATTTTGCTGGTTATTAGCTATAAAATATATATAAAAGCCCTTAAAATTAAAGATACTTGCAGATAAAATTGACAAAAAAAAAAAAAAAATCAGACAACATCCATGGCCAAACCTTGAAGACACGTGTCTGTTAATCCAAAACGTTAGAGGGAAAAAAAATAAAATGTTATACAAGAAAGTCAATACACAAAAGTCATTGTTTATATAGTAAGTTCTTTGTTTATATCACATAGATGATAGACCCACCATACATGAAAAGCCAATAAACAAAGAGTCTTTGTTTATGTCCGGTCTTCTCGGTCTTTGTTTAAGAACACATAATAGAAAAACAATTTAAGCTTAAATTATTTAAGGGTCCCTCCTATATAATGCGCTCATCCATCGATCCATATCTCATCAAACTTCAAAAAAAAAAAAATCGAAATGGTTTCGGACAAGTTTCCGGTGTCGGGACTGTTGCTTCTGGTCCTAATCGCCGTGGGCTCTCCGGCCATGGCGGCTGGACCGGTGTGCCCTAAGACTAAGGTTCTAAGCGGAGCTAGCTTTCCCGACGGTTTTCTCTTTGGTACCGCTACTGCGTCTTACCAGGTTTTTTTCCACCGTTTAATTATGTTTTTCCTAATTATATGGAATGTGAATATACAGTTTTCGTTTTATAACAACGTGGTTTTTTGAATCTATAATTTGTATGTTGCTGCAAAAAAATAATGACTCAAATACAGAAATGATGGAGATATCGTGTAACACCTGAATCCATTTTTCGAATCGTCTTATATAGACACTGTAATTTGGTAAGAATTTTTGTTTGCATATACAACCTAAAATATTATGTTTTCTGTATGCCTTATCTATTAAAAAAAAAAAGGAAATTGCTTAATAGTATTTGCATATTAATCCTAAAAGGTTTACGAAATGTTAATTTGGATCTCATACTTTTAATTGATCATAAAATACCCTTTATAAAATAACACTTAAATATATAATATAAATTGATTAAGTATTGAACCATATTATTATTACAGACAAATAGAACTCATTTGTGTCATCATCCCACGTTGACTTAGTATGTGACTAGCGGACAGTTTATAATTCTATTTCTATCCATGGCCTAAAGTTGTTGTTACTAATAAATCAACAAATGCGGCCCTTCAAGAAGATTAATTAAAATTAATTAATTTACCAAAAAAAAAAGATTAATGGATTAGTAGAGTTGTTGTGAATGTGAATTATTATTGTTATTGTAATTGGCGGGTCAGGTTGAAGGTGCTGTAGACGAAGGATGCAGAGGTCCAAGCATGTGGGATATCTACTGTCGGAGGTTCCCAGGTCCCCCTCTCTCTCTCTTCTCATGTATAAAACACTATTATGTAACATCTTCTTACAAGTAATTAAAGAAAATGATATATAATATACTTTTTCTTCAGATAGATGCAACAATGATAATGGCGACGTAGCCGTTGATTTCTACCATCGTTACAAGGTAATTAAATCAATTCAAGAAAAAAAAAACTTCTGATTGGTTCCGACGATTCAGGTTCATTGATTGTTTTTTGTTCCATTGGTCTGAAAATGTTGCAGGAAGACATAAGGTTGATGAAACGATTGAACACAAATTCTTTCAGGCTCTCCATTGCATGGCCGCGAATATTCCCTCGTAAGTTCCCATTAATATTCGATATGGTACAAACCCTATTTTTGGTCATACAATGCATTTGTGTTTGGTCTTAATGCATTGAAGGAACATTGACATGTATCAGATGGGAGAAAAGAGAAAGGAGTAAACAAAATCGGTGTGAAGTTCTACCACGACCTCATCGACGAGCTCCTCGCAAATGGTCACACCTTCTTTCTCGTATATACACACGTATTATACGGTATATATACGATGTTGCACATATTATACGGTATCTCACATTATACTCTGAATTTGTATCATATCAATCAGATATAACACCTCTAGTGACGGTCTTCCACTGGGATATCCCCCAAGATATAGAGGATGAATACGGCGGATTCTTGAGCGAACGAATAGTGTAAAGTTTCTTCAAATCAAATTCCAGTGTCTTTGGTCTAATGATTAAACTAAAACTCATATATATATACACACAGGAAGGATTTCACAGAGTATGCGGATTTCTTGTTCAACGAGTATGGCGACAAAGTGAAGAACTGGATGACGTTTAACGAGCCCTGGGTGTTCAGCCGTGCCGGTTATGACACGGGCAAGAAAGCGCCCGGACGCTGTTCCAAGTATGTCAGTGACAAATGCCAAGAAGGTCGGTCCGGATACGAGGCTTACATTGTTAGCCACAATCTGCTTCTCGCCCATGCTGAAGCTGTTCAATCCTTCCGAAACTGCCAAAAGGTTTGCAACTTTAGTTCAGTTCGGTTTCGATTTGGTCTAGTTTGGTTCGGTCCGTTTCGTTTTTTGACCTTCCAAAATTAAAATTAGGGGTAACAATTTCGGATCTTAGTTATTTAGATATTAATAAAATTTCGGGTCTAATTTTTTCGATTTTATAGAAAACGATTTGGTTTAGGTACGATTATTCGATTCGATTTGGTTTTACACATCTGAATTGAAACTGGTGTCCGTAGTTAAAGATCCATATATATTCGGAAAACGTCCACCACTTAGGGGTGGCCATTTCGGTTATTAACCGAATAACCGAAGTGAACCGAACCGAATAAGATATAACCGTACCCCGAACGGTTATGATTTTCTTAAATCCGAAAAAACCGAAATTGAACCGAACCGAACCGAAAAACCAAGAAAATAACCGACAATTTCTTTGAAAAACTGAACTTTTTACCGAAACTGAACCGAACCGAAGTTTATATAAAAAGCGAATGGTTATAGTTTTTATATAACCGAAATAACCGACCGAACCGAACCCGAACGAAACCCGAACTGGCCACCTCTACCACCCCTAACCAAAAAAAACATAAAAAAATAATTTATTTTTTTTGCCAAAGAAAAAAAAACATAGTTCTCGTCTCCTTATTTCATTTATTCTTGAAATGTAGATGATAGGCTAGTATAACATTGTTTTTTATTTTGAATAATTTGATGTGTACAGTGCAAAGGTGGGAAGATTGGGATAGCGCACAGTCCTGCATGGTTTGAGCCTCATGACCTTGCGGACGCCCAAGCCGGAGCTTCTGTTGAAAGAGTTCTCGATTTCATCATGGGATGGTATAATCTCACTTTAATTTCTTCAATTTGTTATTATTTGAATTTTTATAACATTTTTAAGCAATATAGAAACCAATATGAACGATATATATAATATAAACTGAATATACGTACGTACATCCACACAGGCATTTAGATCCGACAACCTTTGGAGACTACCCGCAGATAATGAAGGATGTTGTCGGATCTCGACTGCCCAATTTCACGGACGAACAGAAGAACAAACTGAAGAACTCCGCCGATTTCGTCGGAATCAATTACTACTTCTCCTACTTCTCCAACCACAAGGTGAAAGTCGATCCATCCCGGCCAAGCTGGCAGTCCGATTCTCTGTCCGAATTCGAAAGTAAGTCACATATATACAATAATCTTGTTGATTTTTGTTGTTAATTATATGCTTAATGAAATGTTATTGTGACAAATGCACGAGACCTTTGTTTTAATTCTTGTACTCTTTTTATGTCTCAGCCAAGAGTGCGCAAGGCTATAACATCGGTAACAAGGTAATTACAGTAATTGAATGTTTTTTCTTTTCATGACGATGGTATTTGGGACTTTAATTTGGTCCGACTAATTACTCCGAATCTGAAGATGCCAAAATAAACACACTTAATCTTTAATTTGTTTTTCGTGTTCCAGCCATTGACTGCTGTTATGGCGGTCTACTCCAAGGGCCTCAGAAAACTTTTGAAATACATCAAGGATAAATACAACAACCCAGAAATTATAATTGCCGAAAATGGTAAGAAATTTTCAAACCCATCAGCAATCAGACATGAACCCATGATCCCTCCCTCTCTCTCTCTCTCTCTCTCTCTCTCTCTCTCTCTCTCTCTCTCTCTCACCATGATTTGTGTAGGATACGGAGAGATCCTTGGAGACAAAGATGGAGATCTTGGGGTGGCGCTTGCCGATGAAAACAGGAAATACTATCTCCAGAGGCATCTCTTGAATTTGCATGAAGCCATCTGGTCAGCCCTACCTCTACTCGAATGCTTTATCAAAAGATGATGTTGCGTTGACGAATGAATAGATATGGACGGTTTTTACACCAATATTTAATATTCGATTAACCTTGTTTTTCTAACGATTTAATTGCAGCGTGGACAAAGTGAACGTGACCGGGTATTTCGTGTGGTCATTGCTGGACAACTTCGAGTGGCAAGACGGATACAAAACTCGATACGGTCTCTACTACATCGATTTCAAGAACAACTTGACCCGACACGAGAAAGAATCGGCCAAGTGGTATTCGGATTTCCTCAAGAAACAGACAAACCCATCACCGGTTAAGTCAGAGCTCTGAGTCCATATCGGATTGCCGAAGCTATAGTAAATGAGGTTTTGTCTTCGTCACTATAAATGTGGTTTTTTTTATTTTGTCTTTGGTCGTGTCGTGTATGGCCCATGCATGGAGTTGGTCTTCATTGCAATAAATCTTCCGTTTCTCGTATCAATTGATTGCCCATTAACTCAAGACATGTGAGATGTGATGTTGGTATGCATGCATAAATTGATAGTTTATAAACTAAAAAAAACTCGAATTTAATACACAAAATTTCTAACTTTTATATAAAACACACATGTTTTTCAAAAATATTATCGGATTTTCCACGGACCAACGTTACTACAACAACAAAAAATTGTAAAAAACACATATACATGCACATATCTTAATTTGTATATTTTCGTGACATTTTTTTTCTAAAAAAAAGAGGTATATCGTTACGCATATTCTGTAATGCTTTTTTCTTCAAAAAAAAAAGCGGATTCATATTGATTGGTGGTAAACCGTGAAGTAAAGGGCATTTAAGTCATTCGGCCTCATCTACGACTTCTGACTTTGGAGGGCTAAGCCTTCATAATGCCAAAGTTCAAGTGGCAGACTCAGAGATCCAAATTCAAGTGAAGTCATCTCTACATTTATTAGTTAATCGAGGAGCATTTATTGTGATATTAATAAAATTATCTTCTGTAAGTCGTTTGTTTCGTATTAGAGGTCATCCTCTCGGTTTCTCATAATTAAACCGTATGTTATTTTTCTCGATATTTTTAGAAAATCGATATTTTTAGAAAATCGATATTTTTTTAAGAAAACCGAAATTGAACCAAACCGAAATTGAACCAAACCAAAATTGAACCGAATCAAATATGATATAATAACTGATTAATATATATTTTTGTAAAATCGAAAGAATCAAACCGAACTATTCTCGAACCGAATCCGAACCGAATACCGAAATATCCAGTTTCAGTTTGTATCGTAATATAATATACCACTTAATATAATATACCACTGTTTTGAACCAGTTTGGACTAAACCATGGAAAAAAACAATAATACGGTTTGATAACAAAAACCGAACCGAACCGAAATAAAATTGAATCAAACCGAAGTTGATATAAAAGCCGAATCCAGATAAAAAACTGTACAAGTGATATCATTCAAATATTTAATTAATTAAGAAAATTAGGAGCAAAGGCAAAAATTATTGTATTTACCCAAATGATCGTTGATGTTACTTCCACTAGACGTGTTGAAACTATGGATAGATAATTCAATTCAATTATGCAGGAAAACCAATAAGTGCATTGCGATAAATAAATGCGATTGGATCGATGGACGAATATTTAAATTTGGATAATGACAGCTGGTTTGATATTCTCTAATTATTATGTTTTGCTTTTCTTTTTGGCGCACAGCTATAATAATTTATATATACAGCGATATTATGGATTTTGTTTATGTGTCCTCGTCTAACACCCGCAGTATTTTATGTCTGAAATTATATACAAACACGTGGGGAAAAAAAGACGCCAAGTATGGAGTTAGTGGATCAAATCTTATTCTATATATTAAAAATCTTTACATAGATTTGGTTTTGAGATACGGAAAATTTATCGTGAATTGATTTTTTTTTATATCAAATTCATTTTTTTCATGGAAATTCGCGGTTTCAAAATCTCGTACATCTCCTGGGGACATTTTTATAACTCAGTATACATGCCAAATAAATCTATAATAAAGAAAGCGAAATGCAGAGGTCACCCGTGAGATTTTGAAATTATATCTCAAAAATAATAAACGCAGTTACATGATGAGGCATGGGCTGTTTCAAATGCAGGATAATTTTATTAATCACAAAACCAAGTTCATTTAGATGTTGTTGGGAATGTCCACCTTTAGACATTGAATAATGTCAAGAATGACGTTCTAGACCGAACAATGATAATAGCAGAAACCGGGTACTCTTTTCGAAATTGCTAGCACATATGGTTGTAGACATTGTATGGCAGGAACGTAATGCTCGAATATTTAAAGCAAAGTCGAGATCAATTCAAGAAACGTGTGCCAAGCTGGACCGTCAGATGAGAACTCTCTTGCTGTCTCTACAGCTATGTAGCAGCCCTAGCAACAACAGTCTACTGGAGGATTGGTATTCCATTACAACAAGCCTAAGATAGATTTGGAGATTTGAGCAGCAAATCAGCTGTATTTTGTTTACCATTAACATGGGAATCCGTTTTGTAAATTCTTTTGTAACCCCTTTCTATGAGTAATACACAATCACATCTATTCCAAAAAAAAAAAAAAGTTCATTTAGATCCAATTGGTTTCATTGGAAACGCCCACAAATATGGCGTTTGCGATTTTAAATCGCTACCCTCCTTCTGCAATAATAACAAATTTAAACCATTTTTTAATTAAAATAATGTAGTAGTTTCACAAAAAGACCAAAACTACCATCATATCATATACAAAACAAAACTATAAAAGACATATTTACATACACAGACGTATGTATCTATGCATATATATAATTAAAAAATTATAAAAATTTAACATAATTTTAAAATATCGTTTTTTCTCATTTATTTTTTTTAAATCGTTTATTTTTTATTTGCTTTCCATCCTATATGGTATACACACATGTAGATCAAATTGATGATTTTTTTTTAAAATTTTATTTAATAGATTTTATAAATTATTCGGTAGCTTATATAAGACAATAATAATAAGTTAGTTTATATAATACGTAAGTATTTTTAACAAAAAAAAAATCTTTAATAATAAATACGATGTGATTTTTGATAATTTTGATTTAATCGCAACAGTTATTAGTCTTTATTCGAAAATAACTCATCTACAAAACACCACATCACAACCAATCTCATTCACTTCTTATGCAAACGGGGAATCTAACTTTTTTTTGTTGTCAAGAGCTGTGATAAATTGAAAAATAATTATTGTTTATAATAGAAATGATTAAAAAAAAGTTATTGGGTACAATAACTAAACCCAAATATTATTCTATAGATGAATTATTTTCTCGAAAAGATCAGCGATATCTTCGAGATGCGATCCATATAGTGCGAGTCATTAGAATAATATGCCACGTTATGCCGCGTTTGTATAAAATAATGTTTCCAATTTAAAACTTTCTACAAAGGTTTTTCCCATTTGAACAGTGATAATAATCATAATATAAAGGGAAGAATATAATAATAGTCTTATGGTTCACATGAAATTCAAAAGAAAAAGTTAGTGAGGGAAAATAATTGCATGCATTCGGGATAATGTGGCAGACCACCCATGAAAAGTCAATAAATTAGGGGCTGCGTAATGTATAGTCCGTTCTTTAAGGATCGTGGCCCACGTGGTCTTTATTTTAAACTTATACATCGTTTGATAAACAAACATCTTGTGATCTTACACTATTTAAGGACCTCCCCTCCTACGTGATTCTCCATCGATCCAACGACTTGAAGGCTATCAAAATGGTTTCGGACAAGTTTCCTCTCGTGGGACTGTTTCTTCTGGTCCTCGTCGCCGTGGGCTGCTCTCCGGCCATGGCAGATGGACCGGTGTGCCCTACGACTGAAGTTCTCAGCCGAGGTAGCTTTCCCGAGGGATTTCTCTTCGGGACAGCGACGGCATCGTACCAGGTTTAATCCCACCATATGAATGTAGAAATTTGTTTATATGTTTTGATCCTTAGTATGTGATTGGTTGACAGTTTATAGCTCTGCCCATGGCAATGGCATGATGTGAGGTCCCTTAAAATTCCACTTTTCACTAAAGAAGAGAGAGATTATCGCGCTATATGCACCTATTTCTTAGATGTCACAGTGTGAGGAGGAGTGACACAATTTTATAATATTTTTTTAGGGGTTATTGTGAGAGTGAATTATTATTATAATTATTGTCATTGTTATTGGTGGGTCAGGTTGAAGGGGCTGTAAATGAAGGATGCAAAGGTCCAAGCATGTGGGATATCTACTGTCGGAAGCATCCAGGTCTCTCTCTCTCTCTTGTCCTAATTTATCACATATAACATGTTATTATGTAACATCTTCTTACAAGTAATAAATGACATATAATATACTTCTTCTTCAGCTAGATGCAACAATGATAACGGCGACGTAGCCGTTGATTTCTACCATCGTTACAAGGTAACTAAATCAATTCAAGAAAAAAAAATATTTCCTGATCTATTCTGTGTATTCATTGATTGTTCTCTTTTTCCATTGGGTTGAAAACGTTACAGGAAGACGTGCAGTTGATGAAACGATTGAACACAAATGCTTTCAGACTCTCTATTTCGTGGCCTAGAATATTCCCTCGTAAGATCCTATTTATATGAATATTCCATGGTTTAATAACAAACGTGTAATAAATTATTGGACGATGCTTTTTCGCATTTTCTTTCTTGCGTATGCATATAATATAGGAACATATTATCCCTAGATCTTATCATTAATATTGTTATGATTTATCCTAAATATTATACCTAAAATATTCTATTGTATTTTAATGTATTCTTGCAATCATTAAGATATAGAAAAACAATTTTCCTATTATATAATAATTTGTATTGATTGGTTCCCGAAAAACATTAAAAATCAGATGGGAGAGAAGTGAAAGGAGTGAGCGCGGCTGGTGTACAGTTCTACCACAACCTTATCGATGAGCTCCTCGCAAATGGTCACATCTTCTTCCTCGTACATATATATATATATATATATA